ATACGTGTTGACCCAGAAACTCCACCTTATGGATTCTGTTGCAAATAGAGGTTGATGGACACGGTGTTCCCTTCAACAGGGTGGGAGTGAGCTGCCCACGCTAGGTGATGGGTGCACCTGTGGCCTGGGATGGGTGCTGCTCACTGTTCTCCCAGACAGGGGTGCCCGTCACCCTTCTCTCCCGGGGACCTCCGTTTCCTCACGTTCTCGCCAGGGCTGCTGGTCCCCAGACCAGACACCTGCCAGTCTGAGGGTGACCAGTGCTGCCTCCATAGGGTTTCCTTTGCCAGAGTCCTTCCCCGGGAGCTCCTGCATCTCTGACTCTCCCCATGCCTGTCCCCCTCCCCTTGGACTTGCATGCATTTTGTCTCTGTCCCTGTGGAACCCAGTGACTTGGAGCATGGTTTGGACCAGAGGCATGGGAAACCTTTCTGTGGCCTTGGGTTGTCAGCAATGCTTTGGCCCTTTGGGGTGTGTCTTCCAGCTTTCTGCATTTCCCTGGTTTCTCTGTGGGTCACAGGAGGAACCAGCCCTTTCCTGTCTGGGGTCAGGCTGAGGTGTCCCAGCAGGAACAGGGGTCTCCGCCCCGAGATTGTGTCCATATTTACCAAAGGGGGCTCTATGGTTCCATCTCATCTGTAATCCATTGGGGATTTCAACATCAAATAAGGGAAATTCTATGTCAAGTCAACCCAGAAAAGAAGGAGTCCCCTTTGAAAATAGGGGGGCAGACACAAAGGCCCATACTGTGTGATTCCACGTACAGGAAACATCCAGAACAGGTAAAGGAACAGAGAGAGGAAGCAGCTTAGGGGTTTCCAGGGAGGTCTTCTGGTTCGGGGACTCCTTTGGGGAAGCAGATATTCCACAGCCATGTTCTGTGGTGTGGTGGCCTGGCGTTGGGAATGTACTGATGCTCAGGACTTGTTCAACTGAAAACAATTCATTTTATTTAAAATGAATAATAAACAGCATATAGGACATGGAAAGAGAATAGAACAGTTAATACGAACCAGAGAGAAAGAACATAGGGGGAGGGGATGAAACAATCTGGCGGGGCATCGGGGTCGGGTGATGGAGCTAAGGGTAATGGTACAAGGAGCTCTCCCCGTGAGGATGTGGGCTCTGGATGTGGTTCTGGGAGCCCTGCAGGAGCAGGAGGAGGGGCAGGGCCAGATGCAAGAGCAGGGCCAGATGCAAGAGCAGGGCCAGGGGCAGGATCCACGGTAAGAGCTGGGTCAGGGGCAAGTACAGGAGCACAGGCAGGGCCAGGGGAAGGGGCAGCGGCCCTGGAAAGCAGGGGAAGGGGTATCGGCTCTGGCAGGGGCAGGAACAGGGACACGGGCAGGGGAAGGGGCATCGGCTCTGGCAGGGGCAGGGGCAGGAACAGGGACACTGGCAGGGGAAGGGGCATCGGCTCTGGCAGGGGCCGGAACAGGGACACTGGCAGGGGAAGGGGCATCGGCTCTGGCAGGGGCAGGGGCAGGAACAGGGACGCAGGCAGGGGAAGGGGCATTGGTTCTGGCAGGGGCAGGAACAGGGACACTGGCAGGGGAAGGGGCATCGGCTCTGGCAGGGGCAGGAACAGGGACACAGGCAGGGGAAGGGGCATCGGCTCTGGCAGGGACAGGAACGGGGACACTGGCAGGGGAAGGGGCATCGGCTCTGGCAGGGGCCGGAACAGGGACGCAGGCAGGGGAAGGGGCATCGGCTCTGGCAGGGGCAGGAACGGGGACGCAGGCAGGGGAAGGGGCATCGGCTCTGGCAGGGGCAGGGGCAGGAACAGGGACGCAGGCAGGGGAACGGGCATCGGCTCTGGCAGGGGCAGGGGCAGGAACAGGGACGCAGGCAGGGGAAGGGGCATCGGCTTTGGCAGGGGCAGGAACAGGGACGCAGGCAGGGGAAGGGGCATCGGCTCTGGCAGGGGCAGGAACAGGGACGCAGGCAGGGCAAGGGGCATCGGCTCTGGCAGGGGCAGGGGCAGGAACAGGGACGCAGGCAGGGGAACGGGCATCAGCTCTGGCAGGGGCCGGAACAGGGACACTGGCAGAGGAAGGGACAGGTGCAGGGGCAGGGGGTGGGTCAGGGGCAGGAATGGGCGCACACGCAGGGGCAGGGAAACGGGTAGTGAAAGGGGAAGGAGCTGGGTCAGAGGCAAGGATAGGAGCACAGGGAGGGGCTGGGGAAGGGACAGTTGCAGGGGCAGAAGCTGAGTCAAGGGCAAGAACAGGAACACAGGTAGGGGAAGGGGCAGGTGCAGGGGCAGGAGGTGGGACAGGGACAGGAACAGGACCACAGGCAGGGGCAGGGGCAGGGGCAGAACCCGGGTCAGGGGCAAGAATAGGAGCACAGGCAGGGGCAAGGGAAGGGGCAGGATCCAGGGCAGGAGCTGGGTCAGGGTCAGGATCCGGATCAGGGGCAAGAACAGGTGCACAGGTAAGGGAAGGGGCTGGTGCAGGGTCAGGAGCTGGGTCAGGGGCAAGAACAGGTGCACAGGCAGGTGCTGGGGAAGGGGCAGGTGCAGGGGCAGGAGGTGGGTCAGGAGAAGGGACATTGGCTCTAGCAGGGGCAGGGGAAGGGGCAGGGGAAGGGGCAGGAGTTGGGGCAGGGGCCGGAACAGGAGCACAAGCCGGGGAAAGGGAGGGGGCAGGTGCAAGGGGAGGGACAGGGTCTGCCGCATTGGCACGTACAGGACCCGGGGCAGTATCTGGGTCAGGGGCAAGAACCGGGGCACTGGCAGGGGTAGGGATGGGTCAGGATCCAGGGCAGGAGCTGGGTCGGGCGCAGGAGCAGGGCCACAGTTCGGGGCAGGCGCGGGGGCGGCGGCTCTGGCAGGAACAGGGGCAGGCCCAGGGGCAGGCTCTCCGGAGGCAGGTTGTCCAGCAGGCCCTTCCTGGCCCCCGTCAGGCTCTCCGTGGGCGGGTGCTGGGTCACCTGCCGGCTCCTGGTCTCCTGCTGAAGTCGCAGCCACCACCCCTCCGTCCAGAGCTGCCGATGGAGTTGGAGCCGGCTCTAGCTCCTCAGGTGGTGGAGCAGCTGTGAGAGGAGAAAAGCTCACCCCGAGCCTGCTCTCCGTGGAGACAGAACCCAGCCCAGGGCCTCCCAGAGAAGCCGCAGCCAGGAAGGAGCCCTCCCCGGGGCGTCTCCCCGACCGCAGTCCACCCGCTGGGCGCTCTGAGCCCAGTCATTGCTCCAGGCCCCACACCAGGCTCTGGGGGCTCCTCCCTGTGGGGCCAGCCCCCACCCTTCCACACACACCCACGGGCACCCAGCCCCGGGCTTCTCAGCCTCAGGCTCGGCCTCCGTGGGCTCTGGCTCCTGGAGCACAATGCAGTCAATGACCACCAGGGACAGTGGTCTGGGTGGTGTCGGAGGCCTCTCCCCGCAATCCCCAGCACCTGCTCCAGGGGAGTCCTGTGGGGTCACGCTCCGGATCCCGGACATGGAGTGGGTGTCCGCCAGCCTCGTGCCGATCTCATCGGAGGTCTGCAAAGACAGGGACGGGTAGCCGGCCCGGAGGCATCCCAGTCCTACCCGGCCAACCTCCCTGTCCCCTGCCCAGTCGCCCTGCTGCTCCCAGATCAGACACACACCTGTGGGTGTACAGCCCTGCACGCGGGACAATGACCCATCCCTGCAGGGCGATCGAGACAAACCCTGGGCAGAAGCTCACAGCCCCCCACACCCCATCCCACCCAGCCAGCCTGGACCTTGAACATGACCTGCCCATGGGTTATCTGACCCCTCATCAGCCTGCTCTTGAATGGCGTTGGCCCACCCCACATGACCCCTCTTCTCACACACACACACACACACACACACACACACACACACGCACGGAGGGGAGGGGACCTGGGGCTGCACAGGTGGATTAGACCCTGTGGGGCTGGGTGGCCGGCTCTGGGCCTCCTGGTGTCACCTTTCGGGCCTTCCGGCCAAACGGCCAGAGGCGGTGGGGAGCCCTGATCGGACATCCCCAGCGGGGGCCAGCGTTTGCAGGGCGGGCTTTCTTCAGCCTGCAGCATCCAGACTTAGGGAGGCAACAAGCCCACATGTTCATGGTTGGATGATCTCCAATGAAATGAGCTGGGCAGGGGGCTGTCTCTGGAATGTGGGTGCCTGGTTACCTGGGTTCCAAATTCTGTTGGACTCTGTTGTCAGGGAAGTGAGGTCATCACTGCCTGGGGTCCCCTTACCCAACTTCCTCCTCACACAAGACCCCCACCCCCGAGGGCCCCCTCCCCCCATGCCCCATCCATACAGTGACTCCCTCACAGCCCACCCACAGCCTTCCCAAGGCCTGGGTGCAGCCGGTGTCCCCGCTGTGAGGACACAGAGCTGGCTTCAGACTGGGCTCCTGTGCGTGCCCAGGGCTGTGACCCTGGACAGACCCTGTGCCTCTCAGGGCCTCCCCAGGCTCCCCATCTGCACAGTGGGGTGTTCTGGCTTCTACTCCTAGGGACGCCATCAGGGGTAGGACCTCTACATACATTCCGTACTTGCTATCACAGGAGGCTGGGGCACACTTGGCAATGCAAGGATGAGCCAGGGGCTGGGCGGGACATGGAGCACAGCTCAGAGGGGCCTGGGTCTGCTCTGGGGTCTGGGCAAAGCCACCCCCTTCTTGCCTGTTCCCAGCCCCTGTGGGAAGGTTGCAATGAACGGATTCCGACCTTGTCCCCTGGTGACGCACACTTCCAGGGGCTCCCATTAGGTTTAGGCTCAGGCCCCGGGGCCTCGTCTGCGCCCATGTGCTGGGCAGTCCCCACAGTGGTTCCCAGGCATTCCCACATCTTGCTCACACATCCCTGTGGAATCCCCTCCCCTCCGGGGTGGATGGCCTGTGTGACCGCGCTCTCAGGAAGAGAATGGGGCAAAATGCTAGGATGTCATTTCCAAGCTGATGGAGGAAAGTCTGTGACTTCTTCTGGTTCCCTCTGTCGTGTGTTCATTCTCTGTCTCCTTCTCTGTTTCTGTCTCTGTCTCTGTGTCTCTCACAGGAGCAGGATCTGTGGACTCCAGGGGTGATGTGAGAAACGTCAGAAGCCTCCCTTGTCCGTGTTTCCCTCGTCTGTCCCGGTGCTCCATTCCTTCCTAAGGCCTTGTCACCCGGACCAGAGCAGTGAATCTGGAACCTCTTCCAAATGGAGACCCGGAGGCTGCAACAAGGAGGGTCTTGGCCTTGGTCCCCAGACTAGTGGTCAGTGCTCTGCCATGTTCTGCGTACCCAGGTCCTCAGCCCCCCAAGTCCCCAGTCTGTCCCCTGCTCAGAAGGACCTCGAGGGAGTACAAAGCATTTTCCCAGGACTGGGAGCACAGTGGGTCGGGGATGGAGATCCAAGGCCAATAGGCTCTTCCACAAGCCTGTGGGACCCTAGGGACACTGCATCTCTAAGCCCAAGTGACAGAAGAGTAAGCTGAGGCCTTTGTGCTGTAGCCCCTCTGGACTTGGGGGTGGGTATCTCTTCCTGCTTCCAAGTGCCCAGGCTGGTGATGGACACCGGAACCCAGACCCTGTCCTCTCCCAGTGCCCTGGCAACCCTTCGGGGTCCCTTGGGGACCCCTGACCCTCAGCCTGGCCTGTCTCCCCTCCCCATGCTATGGATCTGGGTCCTTGCCAGGAGTCCTGATGCCCTGCCCCATGACCCAGCTGTCTGCAACCTGTTTCTTCTTTCCCCCCTGTCACCCACCTCGCTCCCAGGGTGTCCTCCCCTTCTGACCCCCAGCTGGGCAGTCAGAGTGGTGTGGGTGTGTGTGTGGGGGGGTGTGTGTGTGTGCAGCTGCACGTGCCTCTACGTGCCTGGGGATGCCAAGGTCATGTCCCCACATGGAACAGGGTGGGTAGCTCTTCCCGAGGATCTGAGTGGCTCTCACCCCCAAAGCAAACCTCATGGGAGGGTTGGGACTGGCCTAGGACTGGAGAGCAGCTCCTTGGACTCTGCACCCCTCAGTTGTCCTGGGCCAGTCCCTGCCTCTCTTGACCCAGGTTCCCAACTGTCCCTGAGGGTCGGACATGGAAAGGCTTGAACGTGGCTGCTCCTCCAGGGGTAGGTGGGGGACAGGTGCACCAGGCACGCAGGCCTCCCCACCGAGAGGGCCAGCCAGGTGTGTCATGGCCAGGTGTGCACAGACGACCTGCCCACAGCTCCTGTACCATGACCCAGCCCTGCGGCAGATGTGCACGAGACCCATGGCTCCGCACCTGACCGGTCCCCTGCATTCCCTCACCACCTCGGAGACAAGGGCTCTTCTTCGTCCTAGGGCCCGTCATCCTTTGGACAATGAGAGCAGAGGGATCCGTATCTAGAGGAGGCCGGCAGGGCGTCCCACGGAGTGTCGTGTGCCCATCTCTGCTTTGTCGTCTAGGCTTAGCGGCGGACCCCCACCTAGAAAGAGGCCCGCGGGGCAGGGACATTTGTCTGCCCTGTTCCCTGAATTATGGAAAATGTCTAGAAGGGGCTTCCTGTCCATGTGTGGAGTCGATGAAGCCCAGCCAGCACCTTTCAGATGTCTGAGTGGCTCTGGGGCCCCTCTGCCAGCCCCCAGGGATCCCTGCTCTGGCTCCACCCAGGATGGGAGCCCCAGATGGAATCTGAAACCTCCTCACAGCCAGGAATGCGGCTTTGCCCCGGACACAGGACACCGAGGCTTGGGGCAGAGAGCTCCTTCACGGTGGAGAGGAACCGCCTCAGCCCCAGGCCACCCTCCCCGTGGGCCGGCCACAGGGTCGGGGAGCGGTCCCAACAGGCCCGACGGCAACCCCGTGTGTGGGGCCTGGCCTCGTGGCATGCAGGGTCCCCAGGAGACACCTGAGGTTCGGAGAGGGGACGTGCCAGGCCCGAGACACACAGCCCGCAGGTGAGGGGGAGCCTCCGGGCGGGACGGGGGGCCCTGCTCACCTTGGTGAGCAGCAGGTGTGGGAAGGGCTGGGGAGGCGTTCCTCTGGGAGGTGCTCCGGGAGAGGGGCCACAGGAGAGGGCCTGGCCCGGCTCCACCAGCTTCCTCAGGCTGTCAGCACGGACCGCCCACAGCCTCTGGCTCGCCCCCAGCGGCAGGGCCCACTCAGGTTCACGGTGGGGCTGATCTTTGGATAAAGGAGGGACAATTCACAACACACAAACTGCAAAACTATTCCTGTCCGTGTCCTGAAGTGCAACAGAATATCCAAATTGGTTCAGATCATCTTCCACGTATGTGAAGGGTGATTTTGTACCTGGCCAAGGCTGGGGCTGGACCGGGTGTGTGTGTCTGTGTGTGAAGGACCAGGTGTGTGTGTGTGTGTGTGTTTGAAGGACTGGGTGTGTGTGTGTGTTTGGCGTGTGTGTCTGTGTGTGTGGGTCTGTGAAGGGAGCAGCCCAGACCCCTTGGGTTGAGATCATGGCCACGTAAGGGGCACAGCCGTCGTGGCACCCCGGGTCGTCAGTGTCCCGGATGGCGTCGGGGCAGGAGACCCTCCCGGCCCTCCCCGAGCCCGGTCCTGGAGCGCCCTCGTCCCCACACTCCCCCTGAGCCCGCACCAGCCCTTACCAACTGCCTGGTGCACGTGCCCCACGCCGGGGAGCCGTCGAGTGAGGCTCCTGTTGACCAGCTTGTCCCCAATTTCTTCCATGGGGCTCTGCGAAGACAGTGAGCGGCGCCCGGCCCGGAGGCATCACAGCCCTGCCCAGCCGTCCTCACCGTCCTCCTGCCCAGCCCCACTGCTGCCCCCAGATCAGACACAGCCCCGTGCGGGCACAGCCCTGCGCCCGGGGTGCAGTGACATGTATCGACAGGGCTCCGGATCAACCCTGGGGAGAAGGAGGCCGCCCCAGCACACCCCGTCCCACCCAGCCAGCCTTGACCCGGGGTGTCAACATGATCTACCCACCAGGCATCTGGCCCCTCATCACCCTGCTCCTGCTCAGGGTGGGCTACCCTGCCTGAGACCTCTGCACACACACACACACACACACACACACACACACAGGAGGGGTGCTGGGCTGCACGGTCAGATCACAGCGGTGTCTGGCTGGCCTGGCTGGCTCTGGGCCTTCCTGTGTTCCCTTTGGGCCCCTCCAGGCAAATGGCCAGAGGTGTCAGGGGTGGGACCTGACCCCAGGTCTGCAGTGTAGGCAACGGCTCTCACTGTGGGCTTTGCTGAGACCACATCCTGGGGACATCGGGATACAGCAGGATTGCAGCATCTCCAGCCAAGTGAACTGAGTAGGAAGGGGGCTGTCTCTAGAATGTGGGTGCCTGTGACAGCCCTTGGGCATCTTGGGGACGCCCTGGCCATCAGCCTGGCATGTCTCCCCTGAGCCCCATGCTACGGCCCCGGGCATGTTCCCAGGAGACAATGCCCACAGCCCACGGCCCAGCTGCCTCCAACCTCCTCCTTCTTTCCCCCTTGTCCCCTCCAGGGTCCACGCCCCCTTGGACGCCCCTGGGGAGTTTGTGTGTGTGTGTGTGTGTGCGCGCGCGCGCACGCAGAGCCTTGTGTGTACGTGTGCCCGCGCGAGGGTGACCAGAGGAAAGGGCCCCACATGGGAGTGTGGGCAGGGGTCCCCCGGATCATAGGGGTCCTCGTTCCCAAAGGAAACCCCATGCGAGGTGAAGCTTGGCCTCGGAAGCTGGAACCCTCCCTGTTCCTCTAGCCTCTGCTCAGCTGGTGGGTCCCAGGCCAGTCCCTGCCTCTCCTGCCCTCAGTTTGCCGACTGTCCCATGAGGGCTTGGAGGAGGAACTTCATTAGCGTGGCTCGGCGTGGCCGGTTGGCTCCCACCTTTTGGGTGGACGTGGCGCAGGTGCACTCTGGGTGGGTGGGGCCCTCCCACCAATGGTGGGTCGGAGGCAGGTGGATCCTGTGCAGGCGCACACGGCCCAGCAGACGGCGCCTGCGTGGGACCCAACCTGCCAGCAGGCCTGCGCAACGCCGAGGGGCTGGCTGTGGCCTTGGTCCTCCGTGTCCTGATCTCCACTGCCTGCTCAGTGACCCTCACGTCCTCTTAGGCCGGGGGCCAGCCCCAGTCCCGCCAGGCAGGGCCGCTGGACTGAGTGGACATGGAGACCTGGGGACTAGAGAGAAATGAAATATACCCCCGCTGCTGTCCTGGCCCCCACGTTCCACTTCAGTGTTCATCTCAGTGCATGGCGGGGGGGTCAGGGGAGGGTGATGGGGACACGTGTGGGCAGGGAGGAGGTCAGGCCGCCTTTGCCTCCTCTACATCCCCTCCCCCTGTCTTCCTGGCAGCAGCCCCTCTCCCCAAAATCCGGCACTCAAACACCTTCATCTCCCTGCTTTAAACCCCAACCCATCCTCCTGAGGTGAGAGTCACTGACCCCATCTCCAAAGTAGAAAACTGAGGTCCCAGGAGTTCCCACAGGAGCTTGCCAGTCACAGGGCTGTGACATGGCCCTGCTGTGGGTTTGAACCCAGCTCAATCTGACCCAAAGCCTGAGCTTACAGAGGAGCCGGAGGAAGTAGCCTTTGAGCCCAGGCTTGGAGGTGAGGCCACCCTGGATGGGGGTCATAGGGAGGGACGGCAGGGGTTCTGAGGGGCAAATTCTTGCCGGGCTCCCTGGGGGACGAAGGCCCTACAGAGGCTGGAGTGGGTTGAGGGGTGCACACTGGGGAGCATGTCTAGACCAGATCACGCAGGGCTCTCTGGATATTGGGCAAGGAGTCAGGGGACACTGCGGGTTGGGGGGTTCAGGGGACACAATCCGGGCAGTCTTACCAGAGCCACAGCATCGTAGATTTAGAAGGAGCTTGGTGGGCATGTTATTGTCCCCACCCAAGCATGGGGATCACCAAGCAAGCACCAGCCAGAGGTGAGGAGGCTGCCGCAGTTTCCTCCTGTGTAGAGTGGGGCCGTGGTGGTCGTCTGTGTCCTTCCAGGCCTGGGCATGCTGCCTGGAAGGTCCAGAGGTGGCTTCGTCAGAGTAGCTAGCTGTTTCAGTGAGGTCAGTACTCAGAGACGTCTGAGTCAGGAGACCAAAGGGACGCCCCACGTGCCCAGTTCAGCAGGATGCTCTTGTACATGGTGCCGATCTTCATGTCCAGGCTGATGGGGTTGAGGCAGCAGCGCCCACCAGCTGCATGGAGAGCAGCAGCGAGGAGCCGTGGTTGCAGACCCCGAGACACGGCGCTCGTGTGAGTCCGAGGCTGCCACAGATGTGATGGAGGCTGAGGAGGGGGAGGTGCTGACAGAGGCTGAGATGATGCCTGAGGTCTGCAGCGACGACTGGGAGGTCAACTCCGGAACTTGAGGAAACGGCAAGGCCAGCAGAAACACCAGACTGTGTAAGGCAACCCCGGTCAGCATCTAGCCCAGAAGCTTCTAGAGACTGAGTCTTCTTGGCCCCTTGTGGCTGTGGAGTGGGGATCCAGGCTCCAGGAAGGGATGTCTGTCAGGGAGAAAGAGTGGGACAGTCACCTCCTTTTCCTGGCCATCAGGGATCCTGGGACAAAACCCACACTAATGTCCTCCACATCTACATCGGGCTGGAGGAGCATGCAGAGTGGGTAGGCGATGTCCCTGCTGCGCAGGTAGGGGCTGCATCTGAGCTGGTCCCAGGACTTGGAGTGAGCGCTCCTTTTGGTCTTGGGTGTTGTGTTGGGGGTGCGGTGGCAGAATTGAAGGGCTGACTTTGCATTGATCC